ATCTTGTTCTCTCATTGGGATCAAGATTGATTGGGAATTGGAGGTTCTTGGGTAAATACTTAGATCTCTGGAGAGCAGACTCTTCAGGGTCCTGACTTTGAATCATATTACCTGCCCCTGCTGATGATATCAGAATTTTCTCTAAAACAAATATGACTTTCTTTGTATATTTTATCCAGTAACATTCACTGAAAGGCTATTGAAAATAATCTAATTTAGAGCTGAAATCTTCATACAAAGGCAGAACTCTTCTAAAGCCTAATTTTGAAAAGGGCCACAGGATGAACCATGTGGTTAGGAACCTTGACATTCTGAAAACTTATGTAACTTAATCCACTCTTAGTGATTGTGTCTAGGGTGAATGTGTACCTAAGTCATGGTTCACCACTTCTCTTCTGAGGACATAGCTTTTAGAATGAGCTGAAACTAAATATCCTGTCATTCACTGCTGGGAGTGGGCTTGAAATAAAGTGCAATCAGAAAGGGAAAAACAACAAAAATGCTTAAACACATCTGAAGAGCTCAGATTGAAAAGAGGTTTTCTCCTACATCTATGTGCACACAGCACAAGATCACAGTCTTCTCATTCAAATATATTGGTATTCTGGGACCTTAAATCATCACTACTTGATACTTCTTTTCTTATGATGCTCTTTCAAGTATACTGAAATATTTGGCCACATTTTATATGTTGAGATCTCTCTTTGAAAGTCTCATTCCACACTTTACAGACATGGACCACATTGTCCTGCATAGTATCTTAAACCTCTACAAGGACTTATGGACTAGTCAGAAACATAAATATATGTGCATGTGGATTCACTTGACAAAAGAAACCAAAATATTCGTACAATCTATCATTACCCTGGCTTATAAGAAATTTCAATATCAACTTCAATTGAGGACAATGACTATACCCTATGGAGGACTTTAGGCTTAAACAAGGATGGTAACTTTTATGCAGGAGGGCCAAAAACCCATTTACAAAATATCCTCCCTGGCCCTGGAGTTCTTTCTACTCAGGGCCTGGGTACTGTCCCTGAGCTTTGGTAATAAAGGAACAAAAGTGTTGACAGTCTATCAACTTCATTCACAGCACTAGTTGTGGGAAATTTGGTGATAATTGGCCCTAACACTTTTACAGCAATTCCTACCTAGTTTGCCTTTCAATTGTGATCTTTAAACCTCATGCTCTTGAGCAAGTAAGAATCCCGATGTGAAGCACCAGTGCCCTGTTAGATCAGGAGATCTTAATTACTTGATCCAAACAGGACTCCTGGTGTCCACATAACAGGATATAAAATTCATAACATCATATAGCCATATGCAAAGGTCCTTTTGCAATCTCTTGGTAAAGGACTGTTTATCTATCATTGGCTAAACAACACCCAAATTCTTCTACTAAATATTTGGAAGAATGTATTGGTTACACGTATCTTATTATTGGGCCTCAGGTTGAATTCAGGGGCAAAAATCTGTGTGGCTTCCTTTATCTTCTATACCAGATGCCCTTTTGTATCACTGATTTTTCACCTTAGGGTCTTGCATCTCTGCCTAGGCCTTTCAACCCACTAATTTTATAATTACATATCACAAGTAGCAAAAAAGATAGGCACATATAACCAGAGCCATGCTTTTATTGGCTAAGATACCATTTTCATGGAGCTTTTGCAAGGGATGGCCTACAAAGCTATCTAATTTCAGCTTCCTGAGTAGTTAGGATTCCACACATGAGGGAATGTAATAGCTCATTTTTAATTGCTGGTCTGAAATTAAAAGAGGAAAGGGTACTTTACCAAGTCAGTGAACATTAAGTCCCTTTAATTCTGAATTCAAGCAAAGTGTTGGCCAAATGATAATAACAAAAATAATTCAAAACATTAATAAAATATGTTATCATCAGGCATACTTTTAATGAATGTGGTATGTTGTTTCATAATTTGAGGTATATAACAGGCCTAGGTAGGACTCCAGTCTGTGAACCATCCCTTCTCAGAAAGCATACAGTTTGTAAACATGGAGAATGAGCGATTTCCAAATGGACAGTATGTGTGTGTGTGTGTGTGTGTGTGTGTGTGTGTGTGTGTGTGTGTGTGTGTGTGTGTGTGTGTGGTACAAATATGAAGGCCAAGGGCACAGGTGCCTTCCAATGCCATTTTTTTTACTAGACCTCTGTAGATAAGCAGAAGGGTTGGGCTTGGAAGGTCGCTCAGTGTTAGGGCACTTGCCATGCATGCATGAGGTCCTGGGTTCGATTCCCCCGCACCACATAAGCAGAAAGAAATAAAAGCTGGAAGTGGCACTGTGGCTCAAGTGGTAGAGTGCAAGCCTTGAGCTGAAGAGCTGAGGGACACACCCAGGCCCAGAGTTCAGGCCACAGACCAGACCTCCCACCCCAAAAAGAAGAATGTTGAACAGTGTGATGGAAGGGGTTAAGGGAGCAACTAGCTAAATCTTGCAATGTGAAGTCCACTGTCCTTATCTTGTAAATGGAATCATAGGCAGGATTTAAGGATTCCTTCTTTTTATTATGAAAATACTGTAAAGAAGAGTTATTATTGAAATAAATACTGAAATTGTTGAAGCCACAGGAAGCCTGAGCTGAAGCACTGAACAAACCTCCTGTTCACAGGGAGAGCTTTCATCGGAACAGCCCACAGGGCTCATGCTTTGATTCCTAGCTTTTATGGAGGCCAAGATGAGAGAATCTCCTTTGAAGCCAGCTCTGGCTGGCTTCAACTCAATTCCTGAGTTCAAAACCTCATATTGGCACAAAAACATTCCTTCATGAATGTGTGAAATTAGTGCTCTTCATGTAACCAAACAGCTCTGGACATATCTAGAATGACTGGCTTATATAGGATCAGGAGCCTTGGTCTTGGTTTATTAATTAAGCACTTTCTGATGTAATAGAAATTTCTTCTAAATTCCTCTAGGATATCTTTAATTACATAAATATACAGTGGCATCTATCTTGGCTCTAGAAATTCTAATGTTAGGTCAACCTTTATGTTTCTGTAAAAGAAGACAGCATATTTGTTGGAAGCCACATTATGGTAGATGGAATATTGGAGTCTATTACACAGCTAGCAGTCTGCAAGCAGCCTGTTCTAACAAAGAGTTGCAGTCCAAAAATACACTTAGAAAGCTTGGAAATAGGACATAAGGGGGAGGAAGGAGAATAAAACCAGCAATGAGAAACCAATCAGCACCAAGAGAGTGCTGAATTGGGACACTATGATGACCAGAGACAAGCCAGGAGACAGCACACAGGACATGATTACAGAGATATGTGGCATGGCATCTGATGCCACTGCTGGGCCAGCCTAAGTAGGGCCTAAGCAGGAGGCAGGTCTACAGGAAATTCCCAGTACCAGGCACTGGACTATCACTTTGAGTAATATATCAGTCAAATGCCCATGCCTGCTTACAGGGATCCAGCCACACCTATCAGTTGGGTGGTAAGTGATGGATGGGGCATTTCCTTCCCCCTGCATGAAAACAAGATGCCAGACCCCACCATCCAGCATGTGGCCAATAGGGCACCAGCCACACTTGACCTCCTTACTTAATATTACTGTATTATTGAATCAATTTATAAAATGTTACATCCTCTTTATCATTTTGTAAACATTCAAAAATTTGCTTTTTTAAAAGCCATTTTTCTTGAGGCCCACCTCTGAAAGAATAATTCTCACATTCACCAAAAATTAAACATTTCTTTTGAATAGTTTATTTCTTCCTTCTTCCTCACTCCTTCCCTTCCTCTTTCCCTCTCTCACTTCCCTCCTTCCTTCCTCCCTTCCTTCCTCTCAGGGCCTAGAAGTGATGCTGTAGCTCAAATGGCAGATGGTTTTATTTTTTTGTTAACTTCAATTTTTGTGAGAGATTGATCAATATCTTTGTGTGCTTGATTATTTCCCCTAATATCATATCTACTTTGGTCTTCTATGAGATAACAAAATGTGACACATTGTCCACACTGGTGTTTTATTATAGCTCACTCAGCAGAACTACTAAATGGGCTAAGAGTGAATCAATCACAAGTTGTTCATCAACAGTAATTAATTAAAGAAAAGTGCAAGCACTGAAGACACTTTGGGGTTCTCCCCTAAGACAAAATGCAGAGATTCTAGTCTTTATTAATCCATCATATTTTTTAAATATATATTTTATTGTAAAGATACTGTATCGATTGGTTATAGCATTATATGAGTTAGGTCATTAATACATTTTCTATCGAGCATTGCTACTCCTCCAAGAAAGACTTTACTATTGTTACTTTTTCAAGAAAACTTTTCCATTTTTTCTACATATGATTTTTCTCCTCTTTGTGTGTGTGTGTGTGTGTGTGTGTGTGTGTTTGTGTGTGTATTGTGTGTTCTGTGATGAACCCTGAGCTGTGTCTTGTAGTTGGAGGACTCCACATCTGCTATATCATAAGGTCTCTATCCTGTATTGGTTCTGTATTGCAATTTCAATTTTCTTACAGATCAAAGACTTTCCCATTTGGTACAATCCTAAGTTATTTCATTTGTGTGAAACAACTTACGTGTGTTAAGCTGTGACCTCCAGGTCTTTCCACATTGGTCGCATTCATAAGGTTTCTCTCCTTTTGTTCTGTGATGGATGTTAAGTTGTGCCTTCCAGGTGAAAGAATTTCCATGCCTGCTACATATATAACATTTCTCTCTGGTGGGTTTTTTTCTGATGGACAGAAAGGTGTATGTTCTGGATGAAAGACTTTCCACATAGGTTACATTCGTAAAATTTCTCTCCTGTGTGTGCTCTCTGGTGGATAGTAAGTTGTAGCTTCTGGCTGAAAATCTTTCTGCAAATACCACATTTGTAAGGTTTCTTTCCTTTGTGTTTTCTGATGGACAGTGAGGTTTGACTTCCAGGTGAAAGTCATTCCACACATATTACATTCATAAGGTTTCTTTCCTGTGTGTATTATCTGATGGACATTGAAGCTTGACTTCCAAGACAAGGACTTTCCACACATGTTACATTCATAAGGTCTCTCTAATGTGTGTGTTTTCTGGTGCACAGTAAGGTTTCTTTTTTGGGTGAAAGACTTTCAACACAAGTTACATTCATAAGGTTTTTCTCTAGTATGTGTTCTCTGGTGGCGAGTAAGCATTGATTTCTGGGTGAAAGACTTTCCACACTTGTTACATTCATATGGTTTCTCTCCTGTGTGTGTTCTCTGGTGCAGAGTAAGATATTCCTTGCAGGAGAAAGACTTTCCACAAATATTACATTCAAAAGGTTTCTCTTTTGTGTGTGTTCTCTGGTGGCGAGTAAGCTTTGATTTCTCAGTGAAAGACTTTTGACAAATGTTACATTCATAAGGTTTCTCTCTTGTGTGTGTTCTCTGGTGGCGAGTAAGCTTTGATTTCTGGGTGAAAGACTTTCCACACTTGTTACATTCATAAGGTTTCTCTCCTGTGTGTGTGCTCTGGTGGAGAGTAAGATATGCCTTCCAGGAGAAAGACTTTCCACAAATGTTGCATTCAAAAATTTTCTCTTTTGTGTGTATTCTCTGGTGGACAGTAAGGTGTGTCTTCCAGGTGAAAGACTTTCCACACATGTTACATTCATAAGGTTTCTCTCCTGTGTGTGTTCTCTGGTGTCTAGTAAGATATGCCTTGCATATGAAAGATTTTCCACAAATGTTACATTCAAAAGGTTTCTCTTTTGTGTGTGTTCTCTGGTGGACAGTAAGCTTTGATTTCTGGGTGAAAGACTTTTGACACATGTTACATTTATAAGGTTTCTCTCCTGTGTGTGTTCTCTGAGGGACGACAGGGTATTTCTTCTCAGTGAAAGACTTTTCACACTGTTTACGTTCGTCAACTACAGAAGACACATGAGGACTATATGCTGCACACATCTTACCAAGGTTCAATGAAAATACCCATGCTCTGACAGCCAGTGACCTTTTCTATCCTCATCCCTAAGGAGTTCCCATTATTCTTAATCAGTTCTGACTTCTGTATGGAGCTCAAATGAAAACTTCTTATAAGTCTCACTTTTTCCTCCCCTGGGTTACTATTCATGATTGCTGATTCAGAGAGATATTTCTTGTGACGTTCCTGGCAGGTGCTAATCACATCCTCCATTTCTAAAATAAATAATAGAAATATAGACAAAAACATAAATGACATCCATAAATTCCTTAATATAAAGATATTTCCTCACATTCTGTAACAATATTTTCAAATATCAAAGCATTGCTTTATGCAGAATATATATATATATTTCTCTGCAATTTAGTAATTAAGAAAGTAGTACTGACATTTTACAATGGAAAATAATGTTTTTCTGTATTTCAGATTTTTATATTTTTCTCAAGGAAATATTTACTCAAATTATTCATCTCCGTACTCTTAATGCTTCCATTCTGAATCTCATTCTATGCTCAGCACCACAGATAAAAAATTGTCCTGATCCTATTTTCCTCCTACCTGCAAAATACTAGTTTAAAATAAAATGAGATCTCCTTACTATATTTCTTATTGTCTTTTTCTCTCTATGAATGACTTCTCGACAGACAAAGAGAAGTGCTAACATTAACTACACTGGAACATCAAATTCAGTTTGTCTCCACGAGAATTCTGGATTGACAATTCCTTGAGACAAAGGATCACCTAGTTCTCTGCCATACATGACTCAGGGGCACTAGGAATACTATTGCTCTTTACAGCTCAAGATAAACAGACCCACTGGGCTCTGGACCCAACATCACTATTCAAGATGCTTTAACTCACCTGTGAAATTCTCTTCTGAGCCTTCTCTCATCCATGGTTCTGCACCTTCCTCCAGCTTCACCATCAATATAGGTTTAGGAACACAGTGCCCTGTGAAAAAGAAATAGTGGAGAACTATTGCTCTTGCTGGGTCATCATTAATGTAATGTTGCAGACATCCTGTTCACTGGGTTGCTCCTAAATCTGGTATCTCAATTGTTTCATTTTGGGGGGGGGGGTGGGTTCTGTTGTGGGGCCTGAACTCTGAGCCTGGGAGCTGTATCACAGCTCCTAAGCTCAAGGCTAGCACTCTACCACTTGAGCCACAACGCCAATTCTGGCTTTTTTTTTCTGCTTTTTTCATGCTGAGGAATCGAACACAGGGCCACAAGCATGCAAGGCAAGGGCTCTACCACTGAGCCACCTTCCCAGCCCATGGTGTCTCAATTCTTAACATCTCCATGGTGTACTTTCCCGCAGCTTTGGGTTCATTTTGCCAATGTGTGGCTTGAACTCAGCACTTTTGCTCAAATCTAGCATTCTACTAGTTTGTGTCTTGGATACATTTCTAGTTTTTGAATGGTTAATTGGAGATAAGAGTCTCGTGTTCATTTTTCTACAGTTGCTTGCTTCAAACCAAAATTTTCAGATTTCAGCCTACAGAGTATCTAGGATTCCAAGCCTGAAGCAATGCAACCTATGTCAGGTTTGGCTTACAAATACACACTTTCACACTTTCAACTACTGATTTTCAGATCATACTGACAGTAGTAATGTATATTCTATCTAGACTGTAGATCCACCTATAATAATCACCCCCAAGTCTGGGAAGTCAGTTTCCTGTTAGTGGATCATAGTTTAGAACTATTGTCCTACTACTAATTTGCCTTCTTAATGAATGACAATAAAATTAGCTCTTGAGTTACATATAATGAAGTTGAAGTTTCCCTTAGAAAGAAATGACACTTCCTATGGACTGGAATCTTTTTTTTAACAAAATGTAATGGTCCAAAAGCTTACACTTGTAACCCTACATTTAGGAGGTAAGATCAGAAGAGGCAGGCTTGAAACCAACCTGGGCACAGAAACACAGAATATACCCCAAAACAAAATCCAAAATGGAGTTGTGGCTCAAGCAATAGTGTGAAAGGCAAACAACATCAAGCTCCCAGACCTGAATTTGCCTGGATTTTATACTAGCAGTTCTTTACCTTGGAATGGACTGGAATCTTATACCTAAATATCATAGTCAAATGTCTACTAAAATAAAAGCACTTGACCTTCCAAATAAAAGTGACCTTTGCTCACCCAAGGACATTAGGTTGTTATAAGTTTCCAGCATTACTTCTCTATGAAGGGTCCTCTGACCAGGATCCAGATCCTGCCACTCCTTCCAGGTGAAGTCCACAGCCACATCATCAAATGATATCAGCTTCTGTAATGGCACATTTCCATCAAGAAATTAGACCTGGGTCATGAGAATTCCAATCTGGAATTTCATTATGCTGCAGGTATGCTTTTGTCTTACATAAAATGTTTGCAGCTGGCTGTTATTTTTTCACAGGGAAAATTAAATAGCAAATTAGTAATATTTGACAAACAATAAACCTAGTCATTAAAATACACAGATTTGCAGGGCACTGGTAGCTTATGCCTGTAATCCTAGCTATTCATGAGGCTGAGGTCTGAGGATCAAGGTTCAAGGCCAGCCCAGGCAGGAAAGTCCATGAGACAGATATCTCCAGTAAACCACCAGAAAAGTGAAAGTAGCACTGTGACTCAAGTGGTAGTAGAGCACTCACCTTGACCTGAAGAGCTGAGGGACAATAACCAGGCCCAGAATTCAAGCCCCAAGACCAATAAAAAGTTACAGATTCCCTAATGAATGCAAACACATTTCTGCTGCTAGCAATGGAGGCAAGATAAAAATTCTAAGGAGATAATAATGTGGCAGGATGACATTAAGTCTAAGGTGGCGTCTAAAAATTATATTATTATTTTTGATAAAATTTTAGTACATATAAGGGTAACAATGAATTAAACAAATATTTTCTCTGCGTTTACATTTACTGCTTCACCATAAATTCTATTTAGACCTTCTATTAACAAGTACTCTCATAAGCAAGCAGAACACATTCAGGATATCACATGGTATTCAGGACATAGAACATTACTAGATCAAAGAAAAGCAGTGTCCACATGAATGCTCAAAAAACAGTAACAGTACTCCAGAAATTAGCTAATGATTTATTGGGCCCTTATAAGATTTGATTTAGTTCCCACATAAAAATATCCTAGGTTAACCATGTTTGGTTTAAATACTAAATATTGAAATGTGGTCATAGACACCCTGATATTTCCTTCCTATATAAATAAGAACTGCTACCATGAAGTTTTGTAAACTTTCTCTACATTCTACAATACAAAATATAGGTGGGAGGGGAATAAAATGTTCCTTGAGAAGATTTTCATTTTAATAGGCCTTCATGGAAGGTGGAGGCAAATTGATAGAGACTCAAGGAACACTCATGATGACAAAAATGATAAATATGACCAAATGCTCAAATGTGTTAAATATTCCTGAGTCATTTCTCCAGTAGATCCCTAAAGATATATTTCCACTTTTATTAGTTAATAGTGAAATTCCTCAGAGATCAAAATCAATTCCTGAGCAAACTTCTGTGAGATTTTGCAACAAATGTTATTTTTAATAGAGAAATCCTCATCACTGCATTAATTTTTTTTTATCAAAACTACCTATCTTATACTGGCAGTGAATGAAAATATTTAAAAGTAGTGGTATGGAAAAACAAAACTGAGTACCATGACAAATGAAGTTAGACCAAAGATAACAGAATCAGGTGAAATCAAATTTTCTTGTAGTTTACACTTGGAGGAAGCACATCCTTTTTTTTAAGGAACTCTGAAGTTGAGCTGAAGGGGGAAAAAGGTTTGAGAGGTTGGAATTCCAGCCTGACAGCATTGAGAGCACTGAGAGCTGGCTGCAGAAGGGTTAAAAGAGAATTCTGGGGATGGTTAAGAGACTGGAGTGCAGGCGTTTACCTTACTGTTGGAAAGATAGCATCTGAAACTGAGCTGCTGTTCACCTTGAAGGCTAGGTAAGGTGAACTTCATGTCTGCATTTTCTCTGGGCACCAGTCTTCTGTCTCAGGAGAATAAGGAAACATGTTTGCCTCACAACCTGTTGTGGCTCAGATTGTAATATTAATATAGATACTTCAATTTTGCATGTTATCAATGGTAATCTTCCCTGTGTGAACTCAAGGAACTATGCTTGCTTGCTGGCAACCAGAGACCAAGTGCCAGAGAGCATTCAGAACCCTGGTTTCCCCTAAGTCTATCTGTTTATGTTTTTGTGTTTCTCTAATTTTCTTTGTTTCTGGAATCCTGTAGAACTCTCTAGGCAACAATTTTCCTATACAGTGGGTAAGAAAAATGTCAATCCTAAGAGCCATGTCAGCAAACTAAAACTAATCACTAAGAAAAACTTGTTCCCAGATAGATCATGGAAGAAAAGAAAAAACTGAGAGACATATGGAGGAAAGACAGAAGGAGAAAAGTAAGAAAAAATGATTCAAAGATACATACAAAGAGACAGAAACAGAAAAATAACCAACACAAGTGAGTAGAAAACCAAAAGTAGAGAGAGATTATAGAGGAAAGGAATCTTGTGAGGATACATTAGAAAACAAACAAGATTTTGTAAAAAGACCATAAAGTTTAGCAACAAATCTAGCCTCAGCTTCAAGTAAGACCAAGACCATGAAGTAGTCCAAGAAGTATATATGGAGAGTAGTTTAAGTACATATAGGTTAATCATTCCTTAAGAACACACGAAGGTGCGTATGACCACACTATTTCAGCAATTCCAGCAAAATTTCATTGAGATAGTTTAATGTTACTCATGAGGATGAGATCTGGTTGCAATCTACCCTTCACCTTAAATGAGATGTAATCTGCTCGGTGTCACTACATCATATAACAGGTATGACTACATGTTATGACAAGATGAAACCTAGACATTCTGAAGCCAATCTGAATTCAACTTAGGAACAATATAACCATTTAATCTGCTAAACCTACAAGCAATCTTTATCTCCTAATCTACAAGCCGTCTTTATCT